TTGCATTAGAATGATCTAAAAAGCAATGTCCCCGGCTCATAAGAGAGATGGAAGAGGAAAAGTGAGTGAGTGGGAGATGTGAAATATTAAATGTGAACACCACAGGCTTAATTTACTGTTTATAAACAGATAGGAATATCTCAGTGCAGCGGACTGAATCACATAAAGCACACACACACACAGTGAAGGATTATGCTGCTCTTCCTCAGTTCAGCCAGACTGTTTGTCCTGTGGTCTAATCAAGATGCTGTTCAAAAATGAGAAAGGAGGAGAAGAAGAGGAGAAGACAGCAGTGATAAGAGGACTTTTTATTACCTCCTGATCGCACAGTATGTGTGTATGTGTACATGTGTGAAAGCGTGTGATGTCTCAGCAGGACGTAGGGTCAGCACAGCATGTCAGCACTGTTATTTAATGAGTGGCAAATGGTGCAGAGCACACGCTGACGGTGTCACTGAGCTGGCCTCATCAGTTTTGTTGTGATTCTTGTGGAAAATACAGGCCTCTTTGTATAATCTCTTCCTCTCTGCAAGGCTACAGTCAACTCCTCTGTCTCTCTGTTCTATCCTTCACTACCCTCATATCTCCTTTTTCTGTTACGTATCATCCTTCACTGCCCTCCATTGTTCTTATTTCTGTGATACTCATAATTTCACAGAGCAAACATATGAACAACAGTTCCTTTCTTCTGTCTTTGCCTCTCTCTCGCTCCATTATTCAGCTCCCCTCGTTCTCCCCCCTCACTGTAGCCATCAGTCTGGGACAATGTCGCCAGTGTTTTGGCCACACTGAGGCTGCTGGCAAAGAGCATTTGTCCCTTGTAGCACAATAGAACAACAACAATACAATGGTCCAGTAGTGTTGCGTTACAGTATGTATTTAAACAATGTTTGTGTTATGAATAAGTGCAGATAATGAGAGATGAACTGTAAAACTGTAGCAATGCAAACTAAATATATGTGGGTGTTTGTGTTTGACACAGCACACAGTGAACTGGGTCGATGAACATCTAGGTAGGACGTCGAGATCCAACTGTTGAATTTTTCATTTGGTCTAAATGTGAATGCGTTTGCTCCTCTGTCCCCTGCGGTGTTGAGACCACAGAAGCAAGGCAGCTTTGTCCATCACGTGTCCAAAGTCTGAACAGTCTCCCCAGCCTCCTCTTGTCACGCATAAATGGTCTTTAAATGGAAGAGACAGAATTCATTTATATGCTTTAATTAGCATAAATGCACAGCTTTCCAGACTGGTTTCACTGCATTTTGCACAGGAGGAACACTTGCAGAAATCATGTGTACCAAAAGTCCATTTCTGTTTTATTCTCGTGACCTTGGATGTTTCAGTACGAGCTCTGCAGTTCTTTTGCTAAAAGAGCATTTTAACCTCGGAGCTGACTCAGTAATTTGTATATTTATTTCTACTTTTAATTAAATATGATGAAGAAAAGCACTGTATGGATCAGTGAGCTGTGACCTCCTGTATTGTGTGACACACTCACATTTCTTTCTCACCTTTCATGTCACGCTTATCTTCAATTGTTTCATAGATCACTAACAAAAAAAACTAGTAAGTTTAGAGAAGGTGTTGCTAATGCCCTGTGTGTGTGTGTGTGTGTGTGTGTGTGTGTGTGTGACTGCAGTCTGCGGATGTGTGTGAGCAGATCCTACGGGTGGTGTCTCGATCCAGTCGACTGGAGGAGTTGGTTTTGGACAACGCAGGACTCAAAACGTAAGATTATACAAACTCCCAATGATTCTAAATGTCAAATTCAGGTAACCCGTAACAAAGAGCACTGTACTCAGGCTGTGAAAACTGTGGCAGAGCTTTGCCAAGTGTGAGGAAATTGTACGAGTGTACTCTCTTCATTTTATACAAGTTTATGGAAGAATCCTAAAACTCAGCAATGCCCCTTTACACTAAAAGGAAAAAAAATGTTTGATTTGTAATTGAATGTGATTTCATTTTATCTAATACTGAATACATTTTAAATAAATTAAACAATTAAAGCAAGACAAAATGTATTTGTATTATTACAGCTACACCACTGTTATCAGAATACCAAAGCTCTGACTTTAAAACCAATGTGACATTGAAAAATGAAAGTGTTCTATGTTTATATACTGACTTAAACAATGGCAGCAGATTGGATGAAGGCTCTTTGTGTTGGCTGGATGTCTGCGTTTGCCATCTCTGAGAGAAATGGTTCCATATCAAGCTTATAGGAGCAGGCTCACTACTGTTTCTGTGTAACCAGCTGAGGATTTCACTTGCAAAACACATTTGGTAGCTACAGAGAAATTCCTTCTTTTGCAGCCGTGTGCTAATGTAATATTTAAATTAGCCTTTATTCAGCTCTGTCAGCTCTGTTCTTGGGTAGAGGAATTTGTCTGCACAGCATTTTTATCAGTTGAACCTGAACAGTACAATGGCTGTCCACAAATAATGGATACACTCTTTTTCACTCTACAGAGATTTTGCCCAGAAGCTAGCGGCTGCCCTGGCCCACAACCCCAGCTCAGGACTCGCCACCATTAATCTTGCAAACAACCCACTGGAGGACAGAGGTACGATATCTGCTCTAATTGAGTCTAATGTATTCATCTCTCCTCTGTCCTCCGTTTTCTAAATCGCTGTTTTTACTCTATTCAGTACTACTGTGCTATTTTATTTACAGCTTCCCAGTAGTGTAAGTGAAAAGAAACTTAGAGTATCAGGAACTATACTGAAAATAAAACTAAAGTAAAAGTCTGACTACAGTCAGAGAGCATAGAGTTTTTGTTGGTTTCTATTAAACTGAGCAAGAAAGACAATTCTAAACATTGGGTATGAAAGGTACTTCTCCTAAAGTGAAATACTGAATACATAGAACATCATTCACAGTCAGATTTCACTTGCCAACTATGAAATGTCAAATGTCCTTCATTTTACACTGTGTTTATGTACATACTGTATATACACAGGTGCATATACAGTTACGACTGTCAGTGTTACAAAGTATGTTAATAATGCAGAGAGTTTAGGTTTAGGTGAGTTAGTGAGCAGACAATGAAGAGTATTTTATCATCTTGATCCTCAAGCCTCTCAGTCTGTCCAGGATGAATGAATTGAAGATTCTACCAGATATTCAGGCAGACACATGTATAGATAGTTAACACATTTCTGAGGCACACCAGTCACTGACTACTTGTTCTCTTGGACGGTATGTATTCATTGTTTTCTTTTTTAAATGTCACTGAGACTGATTGTGTACTGCAGGTTTTAAATTGGAGGTAGTTCTTTCTCTAAAACTGACATAAGAAAATAATTTGTTGCATTGTTGCTTTCATTTGAAAATTGCTAGTTTAAGCAAGGCTTGCCAATGCTGAATCTAAGCTGTGTTTCAGGAACCATTATTAATGTGCTGACTCTTAAATTCATGCATTCATTCATTCATTTTCTACCGCTTAATCCCTGAGCGGGGTCACGGGGGGGGGGGGCCGGGGGCAACCCCAACCGGGAACCC